TATATAGTGTCACATGAGATAAATGTCTGGAACAGTTTTCAGACTCAAAATTATAAACAGCAGTTAGCATTAAGCAGTTCCCACATATCCTATTTAGTTCCTGTAGAATGCTGCTTTCCATTGCTCTGTAATGGGTGTATTATGTTCTTCCTCAGCAAGCCTCTCTAGTAGCCTGCTTTCTTCTCCTCATTCTTCACCAATTTACTGGCTTTTTATTTCCCCTAGAATATTGAACATAAATAACATAAATATATGCATTGATTATGTCCTCCCAAACATCTTAACCATATTCTCTTGGTTTCTTTTAGTTGTTGTAGAATGTTTTCTTATATTAAGACACCATTTTCTCTTACTTATCCCTGTTGATCTCTTTCCTTAGTTTACATATTTCTGTTTGTCTCATCAACATCTTTCTTACTATAGGACCACTCCTTGCCAATGTGGAATGTACGTTGGTATCTTCTGCCTCAAAAATTAATCTGTTCCATTGACTCCATGTCCTCCAGACTACTACTCATTTTCCTGTTCTGCTTTGTTACTAAACTCTCTAACTTGCTTGTATTCAATCTTCTGTTCCTTACTACTGGGCCAAGAATAATATTTAAAAGAATATCAGTAATCTGCAAGCTGTCAAAGTAAATATTGCAGTTCATCTTTAAGCGACTCCTAGCATCTCCCCGTATCAGTTGACCATTTCCTTTATTGTCAAATCTTTTGCCTTTAATTTATATAACATCCATTAGTGTTCCATTCTGCCTCTGCAGTTACTCTTTCACATTCTTTCTATGTTATTTTCTTCTCTGCCATTTTCTTTACAATATTCTCTGTCCTCTGTCTTGCATTTTCTGTTCTTCTTACTGTATTTTTTAAAATCATCTTCTCCTTCTTAAATTTCATCCCTTTGTATGAGTTTAAATATCACCCATAGCATATGATACCACATTTAAATAACTAGATATTATAACACTGCTCACCGCTTATAAGCAAAATTTCACCACCTACACAAGCCAAAGTGAACAATTCATATGAGACTTTTCTTTTTCCCTCATCCCCTATCATCATCAATCATTAGCAAATCTCGTTGATCCTAATTCCAAAATGCATTTGAATGTCTTCTATTAAATTATATAAATACTATCTTTTGAGATTACTTTAATTAGTTCAACTCTACTTATTGTAAGTTCTGAATTATTTTTAAATGTATTGTAGTTTATTTTCTGAAAAAAGGCTTTTTTCTATGTGCATGCCAGTAATGGGGCTTGAACTCTGGGTCTAAATGTCTCATGGGGCTTTTTCTGCTCACATGCATGCCTTGCTCTGCTTGTGCTCACATTTTGCTCGTTAATTTGAGCTACAGTCTTTCTAGGAGTACTAAAATAACCTAGACTTCTTTTATTTCTTGCATTCCCTCACCTGTTAGCTTTTCTTTAGCTACACAGCTTCCTTCCAATCTTAAGTGTAAAATTGGACTGGGCATAAAAAGAAAATTGGAAGCATGATATTGTATAGTACCAATACAACCCATCTGAATTGTTCATCCTTGATCACATCCAAAGGATATTTGTTATTCAACTATCTAAATACCCTAAAATAGTATTATAGAATGAACACTAAACAATACAAGACATATTTCAATTACAATTAATTTATGTGATTAAAAATTATAAGAAGGATATTTATGTACATTTTAGCCAGTAATATTGAAATGCCCACTCCTCAAAGACCACCGGAGACCACCAGAGACTCACACTCGAACTGCAAAACGCAAGGTTTATTCAGAACAAGCCTAGGCTGGTGCCTCGTCCCACACACTCTGACACAGCAGAGGGAGCGAGGAGAACCTGAGCGACATTCCAGCAGGGCAGCAGGGTTTATAAAGGCAAAAACCACAAGGTGACAAAAAGATACATTATCCAGGTGTTCAAACAGAATTACATGTGAATAGAAATCTGATTGGCTCGGGGCTAGGGATAACATTCCAGGGTGGTTAGGTCCAAAGGGGGGTTACAGAACCAGATGGGTCATTTGAGTGGGGAGGTAGTTAGGGCCTGATGGTTTCAGTATAATCAACCTCTTTCTGCGCAGCTTCTGGTCAATTTCAACATAATAATACCTCTCAATACAATTACAGTTTTCAGAACCATCTTGGGCAGCAGGGCTTAGAACAAAGGCATAAAGTTAATCGTGAAATGTCGCCTGAGCAAGATAGAGTTACTCTTGTTCTCTCAGTGTGTGTGTGTGTGTGTGTGTGTGTATGTGTGTGTGTATATATATATATATATATATATACATATATATATATATATACACGTATATACATATAAACATAAATGTTATTGTTGTTGTTAGTTGAAGGGCTTGAATTCAGGGCCTGGGTGCTGTTTCTGAGCTCTTTTGTTCAAGGCTAGTGCTCTACCACATTTATCCACATACAACAACACTACTGGTTTTTGAGTAGTTAATCGGAGGTAAGAGTCTCACTGGGACTTTTCTACCCTGGCTGGCTTCAAACCCTGATCCTCAGATCTCAGGCTCCTGAGTAGCTAGGATTACAGATGTGAGCCACCAGTACCTGGCTAGTAATAATTTTTATTCAATATATAAATACTTGGAAAGAGTATTTCTAATAAAGTCTTCTCAATCACGGTATATCAAGTAGTTGTTTATGAACTTTTATTGTTTTTATAATACAAAACTACATTAAATGATAAAATCTAATATTTATTTGGAAGTTTTATTTATTTATCTTGATAATTTCTGTATTTATAATACTTTGTTGGAATTTGCTGTGCTTTTCAGTCAAGTCTTCCCATTACAATATTTTCTTTAGAACAAAAAATATTTTAATAGATTTTTTTAGTGTATGTATTACAGTAATGTTTTTGGATTAGTCATATTAGGCTTTATTTGCTTGTTTCTTGTCTTTGCTGTATAAGCAAACAGCATTGCTATTTTTCTTTTTTTTTGTTTCTTTCCAACAACAGTTTTGTTTTTTATTGTGAAAATACTGTACAAAGGGGGTACAATTACATGGGCAAGATAATGAGTACATTTCTTATCAAGCATTGTAGCCTCCTCCTTTGTTTCCCCTTCCCATCCTCCCCCCCATTCATCCCCTCCCTCCCCCCTCCCGCCCCCCACCAAAGTTGTAAAGTTCGTTTTTCGACATGATGACTTGTACATATCAGTGTTGCAATGGGTCCACCCGTATCCCTATTTAAACGATTTGTTTTTCCCCTTCCTCTCCACAAATTATACCGACACCAAATACAGTGAAAGCAGGGGTTATACTGTGGGGGAGGGACATACAAAGCAACAAAGAATTAATCTTATAAATGCGCTAGAAACAATTGCATGAAAGAAAAAAAACATTTGAATATATATCTTAGGGTTCATTTCCCTAACATCACCTTACCTGACCTTTTCTGCTTGACTCAGACATATACTAGATATTACTATTTTTCTATGCAATAAAAAGAGATTGAAAGTTTATAATCATTTGAAGTCTTTGAAAGTTGGTAATGGGATCAGTTTCCTGTAAAAATTGGTATGTTAGTTTTATATAGAAAAAACCTGATTTTTCCAAATAACATCTTGCTTTTTATATGCATGATTTGTCTTCAATTAAATTATATGTTATCTCCTGAGATTAGTTTAATTAGTTCAACTCTACTTATTTTAGGCTCTAAATTATTTTTTCTTTTTTGTTGTGGTGCTTGAAGTCTGGGCTTGGGCGCTGTCCCTCAGCAATTCAACTCAAGGAGACCACTCTACCGCTTGAGCCACAGCACCACTTCCGGTTTTCTAGTGGTTTTCCTGCTCAGGCTGGTTTTGAACCGTGATCCTCAGATCTCAGCCTCCTGAGTAGCTAGGATTACAGGCATGAGCCACCTGCACCCGGCTCTGAATTATTTTTAAATGTATTGAAACTATTTTCTGAAAAAGGCCTTTGTGTGTTTGTGTGTGTGTGTGTGTGTGTGTGTGTGTGTGTGTGTGTGTGTGCGTGCCAGTGGTGGGGCTTGAACTCTGGTCTAAATGTCTCATGGGGCTTTTTCTGTTCACACCTCTAGTCTCACATTTTGCTGGTTAATTTGAGCTACAGTCTCAGATTTTTCTATCCAGGCTGGTTTTCAACCTTCATCTTCAAATCTCAACCTTCTGAATCACTCATATTATAAGCATGAGCCACAGTACCTCAAAGTGCTATGTTTTCAAGGAAGAAAATTCACTGGTGGTATGTGCATATAATCACAGCAATGCAGGGTCATGTGTTCAAGGCCAGTCTGGACAACATGGTAAGATGCACATAAAAAGTTAACGAAAATAAGACAATTCAGTGACTTTCCATTCTTCCTTGGAAAAATATCTTAGTTTTTATTATGATACCTCCAGAAATATTAAAACAAATGTTGGTGTAAAGAAAATGATTGCAGGAATTAGTAAAGACAAAACTCAGATTCATATTTTGTCAAAGAGATAACAAGTAGATTTTTTTTAAATAGCCAGCCATCATGGTAGGTTGGTAGCTCACCCCTTCTTAGTATTGCATTATGAAGGTTAGCATGAATACTAATGAATATGTTCTGAGTCTTTAATTTAGGTAATAATTTTGGAATCACACACAAAGAAAAACAGGAGTTATTTTTAAGTAGAGAGACTGCACAGTTTTGGAAACAGATCAATAAAATTGACCCTGAATTTTTTCATTTACATTGTTTCATTAGGGACAATTTCTGGACAGTCAAGATCTGTTGTAGTAGCCACTTTTGAAATTATTTTTAAGAGAGATGAAAAAATGCAGGAAGACTGCTTTTTGTTAGAGTTTTAGGCTTGAATTCTTTTTTTGAGTTTTTGTTTCATGTATTCATTTTTTTGTCTATCTTCAATACTTCAATGATAAACATTTTTTAAATAATTTATTTCTCTGTTATTTTGAACTATGAGTTTCCAGAGGAAACTTGAGTCTTTTTTTTAACAGTTGTACATTCCCTTATTTTTAGGAGGTTTTATGAAGATGGAGCAATTGTGCTAGGTGAAGAAGCTAATATGCTTGCTGGCATGCTGCTGGGACTTAATGCCATTGATTTCAGGTACCTATATCTAGCCAAATAAATTCAAATGTTCAATTACTGTGTTTCATAATAGTTTCTACTTATGATCTTATTGTTTTCTAAATAAAGTATACAATGGATATTAATGTGTGGTTTAGATTGTTCACTTTCAAATTAATTGAGTTTAATGAATTTGAACATTACTTTAATTAACTGAGAGTAAACGAATTTGATCTCAGAAAAGAGATTGTCTCAGACTTAAAGAACTGACAAGCTTGCTGTGTAACTTAAGTCAAAGGATAAATTAAACTACCTTCCCCTAAGCAATACCCTGCTGGCCTGAAAGAAAATTTTGATATTATCTTTAAGCATTTTTAGCTTCTTCTTTAAAATGAAAATTCTAAAGAAGAAAAGCTTATCTTCTTATGTGCTGAGATAAAGAAGAGTCTAGTACCATATATTGGTGCTTTTATTTTTGTGTCATCTACATTTATTATGAACAAAACAAATTTTTTCCAGTCTAAGGTAACAAGAGCCAAGAATGATTATGAGCTCTTTTTAGATTTATAAAAGCATCATTTCTCATTTCTCAGATTGTATATTAAATGTAAATAGTTTCCTTATAAGAAAACTCACTCAGATTGAAGGAAGAATATTTTTATTTGAAATTCAAGAATATTAATAAATTAAACTTAAATAACTTCTCACTTAAGGTACCTTCTACTATACCACTACTTTTTTTTGGGGGGGGGGTCTGGTCATGGGGCCTGAACTCTAGGCCTGGGCGCTGTCCCTCAGCTCTTCAGCTTAAGGCTAGCCCTCTACCACTTGAGCCACAGCGCCACTTCCGGCTTTTTTCTTTTTTGCTTATGTGGTGCTGAGGAATC